ACAAGGGCTTACAGGTTTTCTGTAAAGCATTACATTCTATTTTTATAAAGAAGGCAGGGTGAAGACAGTAATGCCCTTTTTGCATAGTTTTAAACCCTTCTATGTAAACTTTAATGGAGTTTCCTCAAAATTATGCCTGACTCCCATGGGGCTTGTAACAGGCTGTCACAACTCCACGAGGCAGCGGAGTGTGGAAACTGGGCTGTCTAGATTTTATCAGCAGCTTGGCCACTGGATTTCCAGTTTTGCTCAAGTTAACTTTGTTTACCACAAAAGCGCTTTGCAAAGGCTTAGCAGACTCTGCAAGCCAGGAGATCCTTACATGAAAGGCTCTCTATAAAAGGCCAAAGTATGAAGAACCTTTTCCCCTCCAGTCTCTTAACCCAGTTGGCTTTGTTTAAAGAAAAAAAAAAAAAAAAGTGGAGATAATCCTGTCTCTTCCCAGGCAAGTACATGAAGTGACATCCACCAAGGCAGCTGCTGAGAGAAAGCGTGCTGTCAGCACAGAAGGAGGGAGGACAGCTTCCTTCACAGGAGGCTTTTATTAAAACTGGGTGACGTCTACAAGGATACAGTACAAAAAAAAAAATTTTGGTCCATGGAAAAAACCATAATACTCAGTTAAGAAAAGCAGTTATTCTGCAACAGCTATGTTTGCCTACGCAGTACTCAGCATCCTTCATGTGTGATTACCCTGAGGAGTCAGTGGGCTGCTTCATCAGCACCAAGACCTTCACCCCAGTACCACAGAGGAGCCATTTCATAAGGGGGCAAAGGAGAAGGGAAATCGAGAGTCTATTACTCACAGACATGTAGTAACACAGACACAAGGAGTAGGGCCACCCAGGCTCCCAAATTCATAGCAACCTTCCCAACCACACCAAAGCTGGGTGTGGGGATGAGGGGGGTTTGTCAGCAACGATTTTGCGCTATTCCAAGAGAATATGACCAACTTTCAAGTCCATTTGCATTACAGTCCCGAGCAGAAATAGTGAGATCCGGGTTAAGAGAAGCCATTCTCTTACACCTGACCACTAGTTCACTAGTAATTCATTCCATAAAGAGGCATCTGGGCTGCTACTCCCCACAGTAGAGAAAATCTACTTGTACATTCCTGAACCATGCTGGGCCTTATGGCAGCCCCAGAACCTAAAACTTGACTAAAAACCACAGGAGCTTCAGCATGGAAACACCTGCTAACTTGTATATGCTTGGAGCTATGTCCATTCCCAAGGACTGTCCTGTTACACCCTCGGATCCACACGAAGGAGCCTCTGGTCCCCACAGCAAGTGACACAGGATAACTGTCCCAAAGGAATGAGCCTACAACACCGCGCCCCTGCACAGTTCCACCAGGCAGTTGCTGCATCCCCTCTCCCTGCTACAGGGAAAACAAGCAGCCCGACGGCTTGCTGGAACCGCAAGTGTAGGCCTTTTGAAGTGCAGAGAAGTCTCACCACTCCAATGCTTCCACATCCCTGCAGTAAGCCAATGCCTCATCTCCCCTGTGATCCTGGCCTACCAGTCTGTCAAAGAACACAAAGGGAACAGGGCAGGGAAAAAGGGACGAGGGAAGAAGCGATTCTCTACACAGTCCAGTAAGTTCCTCAAGGAGGAGCGTGACCTATGAGGCAGCCCAGTGCAGCAGCACCCTCCAAGCGAGGGAGTAAGGGCAGGGAGGTATGTCAGCTCGTGGCATCCTGCCCGCTACATCTCCTGGCACCTTGCTCTAGAAGGAGGCAGGGAAGAGCCTAGCCACAGAACTCCACCCTTACAGCAGATCCAGGCTTCCCAGACCCGGGTCTCACGTGTGCCACAACTAGATGCTAGTTGGGGAGGAATGGGCTGTGGTTTCTGAACTTGAGAAAGGCTCCAAGTCAGCAGTCGTACTGGCTACTGGGGACACTACAGGCAGTGCGGAGTCAAGGGTAGGCTCTCAGCAGCCTTGGGACTGACAAGGCAACAGTCAGGAAGAAAACCAGGTAGAAGTGTGTGCTCATTGGAGCCTGTCTGCTTGCCACACCCCAGAAGACCCCAGGTGTCCTGGAGCTGCCCCAACAGGGACAATGCCAGGACGAATAATGATGCGGGCCTCGCTGTCGGAGTGGCATTATGTGAGCCTTAGCGGCGTACTCTGCAGCTCCCTGTCTCCACAAATAGCTGTGATGCCTTCTGGTTGGGGAGGAGCGGAGCAGCCTATGTGTTACGGATTCCCAGGGCCTGCTCCAATTCCTGCCGTCTTTGCTGCACCTGCAAGAGAAGCCAGAATCGCAGCATTAACATACTCAGATGGTGCAGCACCGCAGCATCCGAGTAACACAGGACCCAGCTAGAAAAGGGTGAACTCAAACTGCGACCAAGATGCATCAGCAGTGTCTACAAGCGCAGCTTAGCACTGCCCCTTTCCACCATCAGCAAGGAGTGACAGGTACTCTGAGCCACTGGCTATGGAAAGGGACCGCTGCCCGGGGATGCTCACCTTGGAGTAGAAGTATCTGCACACAGCTTCCTGAGCCCATGGCTGGAAGTAGAACTCAGCTCTACGCTCCTCTTCAGGATTCCCAACAACATCAGTCATTGTCTGGAGAGCACAAAGGGCAAAACAGTTCAGGGAGTGCAAAAGCTCTGGCTGTGCTGAGCAAACCCACATGCCCTCCACTTTCCTCAAAGAAATTTCAGTAGTCAGGTCAAGCTCTTACGCTTGACTCCAAGTCTTGCTTTCTGAGCAGGAAATTGCCTCTCTCTCTCTGCGGGAGCTGGTTATAATGAGGGAAGCGTGTGACTGGATCCACCTTCCACAAAAGACAAAGCTTTTACCTTTAAATCCCGGCACTGGGACTGTAGCCAGTCGTTGATGAAGCCCTGAGGATCTCGGGCAAAGCTCAGCATGAACTCACGCTGGGTCTTCAGCTGGTTAATTGTCTCTATTGTTTCATGAATCTGAAGGAGATAAGCACAGCAACTAAACTGCTGAATAGGGGAAAAAGTCAGACAGAAGAATCAAGAGACCCAACACATGCAGGCAAATTCTTGTACTCCCTTGGTTGACTTACACCTATCAGATAGGATTTTCAATTCCCAGTTTCCTGCTCTAAGTATTACCAGTTTTCCCACTAACCATTTGCTTCAAAACTGTGCTTCTAGGTAAAGCCACCTGCTTGTGAGTACAGCTGACCCCACGCCAGCTTCCAAATGCACAGCTGAGCAAAGCTGAACTCCTGGCCTGTTCAGGGCTCACCTGCTCCAGAGACACATCCTACCCAGCAACGAGGAGGGCAGACCTGAAGGAGCTCTTCCTACCTTGTTATCCAGAGCAGCAATTTCCTGTTGACTGGCTGTGGATAGCAGAAAGGAATTCATCTGAGTTTTCAAGGTATCATCCACCTCCACATCAATGTCATAGCAAGCTGTTTTCTTCTGGTCATTTGGGTCAACACTACAAGCATCCACAAGAAAGAAGCCAAAATAAGTGAGGAGCTCAAGAAAGCACCAAATTGTAGCTCCTCTAGGATGATGCAGCATACAGACTGCAGGCAGGGACAAGCCACACTAGTGTTAGCTTCAGCTCTAACACCAAGCAGCAAAGCTCCGCTGATGGCTTTGCAGCACAAGGACCACGTGATTGCTCCAAGCAGATTTCTGTCTACAAAAGTGTAATGCAAAGGACAGCATGAATGTGGGAGTGAGTTGTGGAAAAGAGGGATGTGGTAAACGAAAGAGGAGGCTGTTCTTGTACAAACAATGACAGGCAACACGGGAACTGCTGCTGAAAATCAGAACATATTACATCGTCTTCCTGTGCCAGCCTCATCCATCCCTTCCACTCTTCTTCCTAGAAATATCAAGTCAAGTCGACCAGTCTCACCTGATCACATGATTAATGATGATCGGTTCTGGGGGCATAAGCAACGCATGAAGTCTTTGTGGGATTTCAGAGAACTTCATCCGCTGAGATTCAAATATCTGTGACAGAAACACAGGGCTAAGGAAAGGAATGGGAGCTCAGTGCCAGCGATCACCGGCTGCTGACAAAGAAAAGCTGAGAGTCACTTGTTCCAGCCACGCTGTTACCTGCTGGAGGTATTTGTCACAGATGACATACTCCCGTTCGTGGGGGTCCTGGAGCTTGTGGGTCTTGATATATTGCCACAATGCCTGGATGATCACTGGACGGGTCTGGGTGTGAATCCCCAAGAGACGAGCCAAACGGGGATCCAATTTGAACTGGGGAGGCTGAAACAAAAAGCACAGAAAGGCAAGATGGCCACAGGCACAGCTAACAGTACGTGCCCAGCACTGCTACTCCCAACATCTTACCTGGTAATCCAGCATCAGAAGGACAGTACAGCGCACATTTACATCTCCCGGCCTCTTCACCTGGAAGCCATCTGTCTCCTGAGTTGTAGCAGTCCTGTGCCACTGGAACAGGAGAGGGCATTTAGAAGCACTCTCACACTTAGTTCCCTTTGCTCCTGCTGCTTGGCACCCAACAAGCTTGCCAGTAAATCCCACCCACCTAGAGAAAGTTCACCTTCTTCCCGCTTGCAGCTTGAAACAAGAGTTAATACATTTGTTCAGTCCTCCCGCAAGTCAGAGGAAAAGCTAAGATAGGAATTCAAGAGCTCCTGCCTCCAAACCACTTGTTCAAGCCTTAAGTATCCCCACCTCTCAAGTTACAAGTGATATACAAACCCTGTCTGCTGAAACACCAACCCATTTTTAGAGGTAACACAGCAAAAAGAAGCTCACCTCTACTAGGTGATTGTCAGGGCCATACAGGTCTTTATCAAGTTCAATGACCAGAGATTTAAAGAAGGATGAGAACTTTCTTTTCTGCTTGGTGGCATCATATTTGGACAAAGCAGACTGCAAGCAACACAGGAAGGAAAAGTGTTAGGACAGCAAGTCTCAGCACTCAAGCGCAGCCACCGTGCACGACAGCGTTCCTTTAAGTTCTGAACACCTAAATTCACCAACATGTGTTTGAAAATCAAGTTCCAAGTCAGAAAGTGAAAGACTGGAGTTAAAGATGAGCTTGCAGGAATTAAATCGCTCAGCGATTACATACAATGCAAGCGCCCTGGTTCTCAGAGCCAGGGTACACAAGTGCCACTGATCTGCTCTCACCATTAATTCTTATAGCTATAAGAACTTTGTATAACTCATGTCCTGCCATGGGGATACCCATCGGTCTCCAAGTTGGGCTCTCGGTCTCGTCACCATCAGACTCCTTGGAAAACAGAGATGAAGGAGGATATCAAGCCCCTAGCTATGCTCTCAGACACTAAGAAACTGGTTTCATTGCCAATTCCAGATCCATAAAGTCACCTCTGCGGTTGGGTACTTCACACTTACATCTTCCAGCAGCCGCCCTTCCACCCGAAGCTCCCAGGAGGCGACTGTTCCTTCACCATCCTCTGCATCTGACTTGGCTGGATTGAAGGTGTTGGAGATAAAAATACGTAGCTTTCGTTTTTGCTAAGGGAAAAAGCATCGTCTCAGTGTTAATTCTGAAATACAGGGCTGAATATCTTGCTTATGTTTTGCTAAAATGAAGCTTAATAGTTTTGGCTGCTTCATATTCCCCCTCTCCTGGGGCAGACAGCAAGAAAAGAGGCATTTCTGGTTCCACTCCTCGATTATATCTGGAGCATTAAGGTTCCTGATATGCCACGCTTACAGGGACATGACCCAAGCTTCAGTGCCCTCCTGCTGTCTTAACTAAAGCAAGAGCCTCCAAACCTTGCTTATGATAACCATGAGTGCAGCCCTCCCCTACCTTAATGGGTCGCTTCAAAGCTTCCTGGATATCCAAGCGTTTCCTCATGATCGTCTGGTCCAATTTCCTTTCAAAGGCCAGCAAGTCCATATAGGCCTGAGACTCGGGTACAAGCTCACGAATCTACAGCCAATCAAGAATGCAAATCACCGTCAGCACGCCCGCACTTCTCCCGTCTACTTCGTGTCAACACAGGCTGCAACTGCATGTGCCACTCACCCTCTGAGGTAGAATTTTGTCAGCCATCTTCTTCTTTTTAGCACTGTTAAGGAAGGAGATGCACACGCAGGCATTAAAATGGCAACCACTTTGTGCAAATTAACTGTAGGCATTCACGAAGGGAGCAAGACGATGGCTTTTTCTCTGGTTTAGTAGCGCGGCATTAACAGTGCTCTCAGCCTGGATGCCAGTCTCGGGCCCAGGCTCTGATTTTCAGAGGCACTTATCGTTACCGTCAGCGCATGCAGAGTCAGGCTCTTTATTCCCCACAGCCCCTGACAGGCCTCCAGCACTGCAGAGCTGATGAACCCTGCAGCAGCGTGACTAATTACCTGAATGTTTCAGATCCCCTAACAAGAGCTTAGAAAGCGGGGTTACATCGAGTTGGAAAGGGCGTACTGACGTAATGCCTAATCAAAGCGCCTCTCTAGCCTCAATTAGCTTTAGATTGACTTTTCTAGGAGACGCATTTTAAATCAAGGGATGAATTACCAGCGTTACTGGGGAATCACATTATACTGCCAGAAACGTTACATAAACTTGCTGTTGTCTAGCAGCTGCACGTTAGTCTTTTATCTGCTGGAAGCTTCCCCTCTCCCAGAGAAGGAGCTGCGCAAGAAGGCCGACGTCCCTTTCAGCCACCCAACAAAAAGAAGCCGTGAGAAGCCCAAGCGCAGCGCGAAGGCAGAGCCGAACAGAAAAGCTTTGTGCTGCCAAGCGCAGCCAGCCGATCGCACCGACTCAGTGACCGAGGCTTCCCACTGCCCCGCGCCCGGCACCGTCCCCGCTTCACCGCGG